GGGGGGGAGGGTGGCATTGGAGCCCCAGGACATCTCTGCTGCACTCAGGGGGCACTGGCTGGAGGAGTGAGTGGGTGGGCTTTGATGAGGCATGAACGGGTCAGCGGCCCCTCATCCCCGTTTTCCTAAGACCTTGACATTTACAAGACCAGGGTCTCTGTTCAGAGGCGTAGCGTGGAAGCTGGTAAGTCTGCATTTCTTGCCGGATGACCGGCTGGTCAGTGCCAGCTCTCCCTACGGCAAACTCCCCGTAGGCTTGCTGGTTGTTTGGTTGGCCCTCCCGAGCAATTGCTCTCCAGCTGCTGGGCTGCCTGCTGATTGGTTCACCCGTTTGCCATGTTACCTGATCTCTCTCTCCACGGAGAGGTGACTGACTGTATCCTTCTTCTCCCAGAGAATGAGTGCTAGAGTTGGGCAAAACTTGGAAGAAGCCAGTGGCATTTGGGGCCGGATTTCCGCTCCACGCTAAATCCCTGCACCTCCCCAAGAACAAGGCAACGTAGCAGCCGTCCCCCATGTGGGTTACCACCCCATTGCCAACCGGCCACTTGGTTCTGACACCTGACCGCTTCTGTTCCTCATTCGTAATGTTGGGCTCTGTCCCTTTTCTCCTGTTAAATAATATCAGATATTGATTAGAAAGAAAACAAATCATTGGGCTCTTCTGGCCAACCTTGATTCTGGGGCTGCTGACATCAGGACCCTGACATACAGGGCTGGGCCCAGCCCTGCTCCTCGGGGTGTCCTGGGACACCTTCAAAACCAGGCTCAGACAAAAGTCGCTTCAGACAGAATTGTAGCCTGGGCACAGATATTGAAGGCCCTGCTGAAACCTGCTTTCAGACTGAAAAGCCAGGGATCCTTTTGCCCAGCTCTAGTCAGAGTTGTGCGAGCTCGCTCTCTTTCTCTCTCTCTCTCTCTCTCTCTCTCTCTCTCTCTCTCTCTCTCTCTCTCTCTCTCTCTCTCTCTCTCTTCCTCTCTCTCTTTCTGTCTCTTTCTCTGCTTGTGATAGAGTGACATTGTTTTCTTTTTTGGAAGTTAGCAATCTCGTGCAAAATATTACCAACCTGTCAGCTTTATTTCTACAGGAATCATGCCTTCCCACAAGCCTGCACCCTGATATAACTCCTCACCCTGTCATTGCATGGAAGGGACATTTCAGTGCATTGTGCCAGAGGCCCCTTCGTGGGATGGATTTATTGTTTTTTTTAATTTGGGAAGGGCAAGAAATACGGGTGCCCATGTACATGAGAAGGTGATAGGGAGGTGTATGGGTGTGAGTGTGGGTGTGCGTGCCTGCGTCTGGGTGCATGGGAGTGTGTATGGGCATGCATCCAGTTTTTTGTTTTTCTGCCCCTTTGGCTATTTTCTTGAAGGCATGTGTAGTTAGTGTCTTGGCTGAAAAGAAACACAGGAAGTGGTTCTGCATGGTAACTGTGCGGCTGATTGCCTGAGCAGGTGTTCCTGAGAGTGTTTCTAAAAATTTAACAAAGCAAGGAAAATACAGAATAGAGCCCAAGACCATGGGTTTGGACAGTAAGCACAGACCCTCCTGTGATAAAGGGATACCACCCCACCTCAACCTCTCCGTGTTAAAAGCAAAGTCATCATTGGAGAGCCCACAAAACTACCACAAATGGGAAAATGAGGAGTGTCTCATTGGTACAGAATAATAGCAATAATAATAATTACTGACATGTAGCACTTTAAGGGTATCCAATCTGGTCTTCCTAACAATCCTATGACTTAAGTGCTACAGGTATTGACATCATTATTATTATTATCATTGTTACTACCCATTTTGTAAGTGAGAAAACAGAAGTTTAGAGAAGGGAAGTCAGTCAATTGATAGGCTTTTATTAAGCATTTCCTATGTACCAGTGACTTGCCCATATTCACCCTGGGTGACTGGTAAGTGTTAGAGATGGGATCTTAAACCCACATCCCTTCTGACTCCAATTCCAGCACCTCTGAATTTTGTCTATCAGGAACCACTCCACTTCAGTAAAAGTCCATGATAGGGGCAGCTAGGTGGCGCAGTGCATAGAGCACTGGCCCTGAAGTCAGGAGGACCTGAGTTCAAATCCAGCCTCAGACCAAACACTTGACACGTACTAGCTGTGTGACGTTGGGCAAGTCACTTAACCCCAAGTGCCTTACCAAAAAAAAGTCCATGGTAGAAAGCAGATCAGAGCATGCTCCCCAGCAGGGGCGGAAGTTTACATGTAATCTCTCCAGACTACTTTGCATGAGCCATATTCATCCCGAGACTAGTGCCTCTCTGAGGAAGAACAGCAGCCCAGAAGCACCAGCTACGGGACTTGGGTCTTCTTGGCCTATCCCTCCCTGTAGATGGATGTCCCCCAAATTAGGAATTAGGCAATTAGCCGATGAGAACATGGATCCCGGAGTTAGCAGTGACTGCAAATGTCTGTGTGGCAAAGCCTTCCTGAGGCACACCGCATCGACAGTGGCGTCCCTGCCAGCTTGGGGACACCTTGCAGAGAGACGGGGCCTAGGCCAAGTCTGAGGTCATAGGCTCGTAGAGTATAATGCTGGAAGGAGCCTTAGAGATGGTTTAGTCCAATACTCTCGTCGCAAAGATGAGAAAACTGATAGTTAAGTTCTAGGAGAAACCTGAGCCATCGAGTTATTAGGGAATATTTGCCTGATGCAAGGCTTAATTCAGATTTGGGAGCAAACCTAACTTCCCCTCCTTTTAAGTGACCTCACCTTCCCCCCACACCCCCCCCCATGATAGTATAAAAGGAGTTGAGCCATGAAAGTGAATAGGATTCTGAGGCAGTGAAATGCTAATGACTTGTTTTTAGAAACACTTGTTCTCAAACTGTCATTTCCATATTACATTTTGCAATCTGCCTTGCAAGCACTGTATCTGTGGGGCCATCTTCCCTGCCCAGCATCCCAGAAGTCCTCTGGAGACCTTGGGACAATCCAGTGGGATGACCCAACCATCAGGAAGCACATACCAGGGTCAGGTGAAATTATAACAATTGGAGGCCAACTTGTCCCCTTTTAAATGCTGCGGCATGTCAATGGTGCCACATCAACCAAAGGAGGCTCTCCCATCAGCAGGCGTCTGCTCCTCAAAATTCAGACAGTAGGGAGATTCCATCCTCTCGGTTTTCTTTTCTTTTCTTTTCTTTTTTCTGCCCCACCTCCCACCTCTGGTTTGTTCCTTAAAGGAGCAATTAGAGACTGCCAGGTAGTTCTTCTTTGGGTCACCAGGATCCCCAGTGGCTGACTCAGGGCGAGTCTAGAAAGTATGTGTAGATCCCACTGAATCCTCAGTCCCCTCAGTCATCTCCCTGACTGTCTAGATCAGAGCTATACTCCTCCCCAAGGACCTAAATTCAAGAGTTGCCACTTCTCCCCAAGAATTTTCCATTCTGTGATGGAATTTGGAAGGGAAGAAAGCAGCAGGAAGAGAAGGATGGACAGTCTTCCAGCTCTTGCCCATGAAATGTCATTTGTATCTGAATAAAAGGAATATACCCTTGTCATCCAAGGCCACTCCTACAAGACCCCTTTCCCAGGCCCCCATCCAGGAGCCTGGGCTCCTGCTAAAATTGGCTTGAGTTTAAATGGGAAAATGCCATCTCTTGGCCCCCCCTTTCCCTATGCATACCAGATAACCCCTAATCCTTTAGCCCTACTTTTCACCATGTGAATACCATAATTTGGTTCATTCCATTCTGGTTTCTAGTATTTATTTGGTAGGAACTGTATCAAGAGGATGAAAATGGGTAAAATCAGGCACTGTTTCCTTTCCTGTGTTTCGCCTTTTTAATTGTAACCTCATTAGGCTGACCTAATCCAACTTGAATGATTATACATCTCTATTCTTCCCTGGAATAGAAACCCAGTATACCTGGAGTCTTAAATCGCACCTCTCTGGTCTCCCATTCCTTCATTTCAGCCTAATCTCCTACATTCAAAGGTCACATTCATACAGAATCCTTTTTTTTTTTTTTTAAGAGAGAGAGATTTGTAATTAAACGTTTGGGGGAATTGTTTCAAGATCGACCTTTTGGGTTTCTTTGTTGTTTCATTGTGTTTGTTTGTTTTTAATTCCTTTCCCCTAAAAGTCCCTCCTGTGACCAAGTTTGAAGCCTGGAAATACACTGCTTGCAAGATGTCTTTGCAGTAAAGTCTCTCCCTTCCTCCCTTTGGTGTCCTGCCCTTTAATTTGCCAGGTGCTGCACAGGCAGCACCCCATCATAACCTCTTCCCCCTCGCTTTCCCTTTCCTTTATGACAGAGACTGTCCGAGCCATGACGCATGTCATCAACCAAGGAATGGCCATGTACTGGGGCACATCCCGCTGGAGCTCCATGGAGATAATGGTACTGTGGGGCCCTCGACCTTGAATGTCCTTTGAGAAGGCAATGGGCCAACCCGCCAGTCAAGGCTGACCAGAGGGGCCAAGCTGTCTGTGAAACTGTGGGTCAGGGATAGGGGCTGGACTTGTGGTTTCATTGATGTAGGGAACTCCCAAGTGAGGGAATCCCACCCCACCAATTCAGATTCACACCTATGAAACTATGACAATATAGTTATCATATATTATACTATATTACATAGTTATCATATGTAAATATATATTTACATATGAGAATATCCCTTGGGAAATGGGACTGGAGATCTGATTTCATTAGCATAAGGAATTACCAATAAGGAAACACCCTCTACCAATGTAGATAAGCCCCACCTCTATAATTTATCATCTTAGCTGCCTGATGCATTGAGGAGTTAAGTGACTTGCCCAGGGTCACACAGCCAATATGTGTCAGAGGTGCTACCCAAACCCAGGTCCTCTTGACTTCAAGGCTGGCTCTCCTATCTACAGCCTCTCAATGATATCCTATATATACATAAAAATAATAATAGCACTTTTTAGTCTTCCTGTGAATCTGGGATCTCTTCAATGTGGATACTGTAGTACAGATCACAAGCTATTGGGTACAACTCTTCTCTGTGTTCTTTCATACGTCCAACATATGGGGAGATCTAGCGACGTGGGTGGGGTTGGGGAGAGGGGCCTTCCTCACATTCCCTTGATGTAGATACCAATGGATCATAGAATTAGAGCCAGAAAGCTACTTAGAGGTCATCAAGTCCAAAGCCCTCATTTTTACAGGTGAGGAAACTGAGGCACAGAGACCTGAAGGAACTTGCCTAGGGTCACACAACTAGCAAATATCAGATACAAGATTTGAACCTACACCTTCCTGGCTCCAAAACCAGTGCCCCATCCACTATGCTACGTTGCCTCTCCACATCCAACATTTCCATTGATTCTCATAACAGCCCTGTGAAGCAAGATATTATTGTCTCCATGTTACTAATGAGGAAACTGAGCCTCAGAGATGTAAATGACTCAGTCTTGATGACGCAGCTAGGAAGTGACAGGTGGCATTTAAACCCAGGTCTTCCTTCCTAGGGCTTTTTCCACTAAGTCTCAGTTTTTGAAAACCATTATGGTAATAATAATAAAACGTCACATGCGTGTGGTACTTTGTAGAGTACGAAACACCTTCCCAGGCATCATCTCATTCAGTCTTCATAGTCTGCTGGAAGTGGTTATCGGGCCATCCTTTGCCCAGGTCAGATGGTGGATCCTGATCAGCTCCGAGTGCCCTCTTTTAAGAATGATATGGATAAACTGCAGAGTGTCCAGAGGCATGCAGCCAGAATGATAAAAGGCCTTGGGTTTATGCCATGTGAGGGCAGAACTGGGGGTGCTCAGTTTGGAGGAGAGAAGATGGGAGGAGGGGGTGGGGACCATAATGTCTTCCTGGATGTATTTGAAAGACTGTCATAAAGAAGAAGGATTGACCTGACCTGCTTGGCCCCAGCGGGCAGAGCCTAGAGCAGGGAGTAGAATTGACCGGGAGGCAAATTTAGGCTCCACCAAGCAAGCTATCAGAGGCTGTCCCTTCTCTAGAGGTCCTCAAGCAGAGGCCAGATGACTCCTCAGAGATGATGGAGTGGATATTCTTTTAGCATATGGGTTTGATTAGGTGGCTGCTAAGACCCCTTCCAGCTCTCCAACCCTCTGATTGTGAATTATACCCCCTGTGAGTTGGGGCAGGTATTATGACCCCCATTTTACAGAGGAGAAAACTGAGAAAAACGTCCAAGAAAAACAAATGACTGACCCCAAGGCCATATAACTAGTTAGCGTTAGGGCCCTCTCAGTCGTCCTGTCTCTCCCTCCTACCCTGTGTTTTAGGGCAAACCTAAAACCTTTTTGTTGACAGTGATTTAAAGAGGCAAGAGCTCTCGAGAACCCAGTTCCTATGCATCCCTCTTAATTATTCTGAGGTCTGGTGGGACAAGACAGCAGAGCGTATTCGATTCTTGTTTACTTAATATGGCATCAGGGGAGAAGGCTGGAAGGGAATCATCTGTTTCTCACTGTAGCCAGGAAGCCTCCTATTTGCCAGCTTCATCCCACAGCTTTCCTGTGCCCTTCTCATAAATACTGTCCTCAAATTCAGTGATGCGAGTCTCCTCTAGGGGCCCCCTACTCTCTATGGTCTCCATGCATAATCTGGTCTTGATTCCCTTAAAAAATCAAACGGGATTCCCATTTGAGGTTAAGCCCAACCTGTCCAAAAGCCCCCAACCAATGCAAGAGAGTTTGGTGGGGTTTATTCTACACAGGACTCTAGTTTGAAGGTGACCCAGGAGCTGGTAGAATACAGAGCTTCCCTGAATGTATATCATCATGCCTGGTTCCCAGGGATCACCTGAAGAGGTCTGTGGCATTGGCCTTCAGAGCACATCCATCTTGTTAGTCTCTGAGCATCTGCAGTGGTCAAGGTCCCCTAACTGCAAATTATGCTCATGAGGACCTTGGCACAGATGGAGGTTTACAGCCCCCGAAGTCAGCCAGCTAGGCTGCTGTCAGACCTAGGAGGAAAGCCCGTGTCTCCAGATTCCTGCCCAGGGCTGCTTCGGCCCCACCACACTGGCCTCTCTTTCCTCATCCTGGGCTCTGTTTTTTTTTTTTTTTCCTCCCTTCTCTTTTTGTAGAGAGATAGCATCGTAGAGACAGCTAGATGGCCCAATGGATGGAGCACCAGTCCTAGAGTCAGGAACTCAGCTTCCCGAGTTCAAATCTGGCCTCAGACACTTACTAGCTGTGTGACTCTGGGCAGGTCACTTCACCCTGTTTGCCTCAGTTTCCTCATCTTTAAAATGAGCTAAAGAAGGAAATGGCAAACCACTCCAGTATCTGTGTGTGATCCTGGGTGAGTCACTTCACCTTGTTTACCTCAATTTTCTCATCTATCAAATGAGCTGGGGAAGGAAATGGCAAACCACTCCAGTATCTCTGCCAAGAAACCCCCAATGGGGTCACAAAGAGTCAGGAATGATAGAAAAATGACTAAACAACATCAAAGTATAGAATAGTAGAGAAAGAGCCAAAAAGACCTGGGGTCAAGTCCTGCTTCTGACCCTTATTATCTGTATGACCCTTTCGAAGGCATGGTATCCAGGACAGAACAAAGCCCTCCACATATAGAAGTATCCCTTCCTTTATTCTGAAATAGATAAGCCCATGGTTTCTTATCTCACTGCCTTACTCTTCATTCCCTGGACATCCCAGCCAAGCAGCTCTCAATGTAGGGTCCAGATTCCCTAGATTTCAGTCATTTGAGGCTGTGTTTTACTGGAAAGAACACTTGATTTAGAGTTGGTAGATCTGGGTTCAAATCCTCCCTCAACCACTTATTTGCTCTATGACCTGTGATGAGTCAGTGTCCTTGTCTGTAAAATGGGGTTTGACTAAATGACCTCTGACATACCCGGCACTTTCCCCTTTATGAGTTGACTTTGGATATGTGATTTACTGACATGACCCATTGTATCTGACCTGAATCTCGGCCTGCTGATTTGTAAAAGGGTGTGTGTGTGTGTGTGTGTGTGTGTGTGTGTGTGTGTGGTTTTGTCCTTGGCAGGAAGCGTATTCAGTGGCTCGGCAGTTTAACCTAATCCCACCAATTTGTGAGCAAGCGGAATATCACATGTTCCAGAGGGAGAAGGTAGAGGTGCAGCTCCCAGAGTTGTTCCACAAGATAGGTAGGTCCTGCCCTTCCACGTCCTCTGACTCCAGTGCCCGCCCTCTGGACACCCCCAGGCCCTGAATAAGCTCAGTGGGAGTGACATCAGCCACAGAGCCCAAAGGGAGGGAACCTCAGAACGCACCCGAGGCCACTCCTTTCCTCCCATAGAGAAGGGAGCTGAGGCCCAGAGGGGACACAGTAAGTGCCCAGGGCAGGATTCAAATCAAGAGCTTCCCCGGGAAGTCCCCATTTCCTGCCCTCCATCCACCACATCACAGTTGGGAGGATGTCCATGGAAGAGAGATGTCTGCAAGGGAGTGCCCCACTTGAGCCCAGAAGACTTCGTCCTGGATAGGTGATAGAGAGATGGATGGATAGATAGAGTGGATAGGTAGAGGGATGCATAGATGATGGAGCAATTGATAAATGGATGGATAGAGTGGATATAGATGGATGGATAGAGAGAGAGATAGAAGGATGGATGGATATGTAGAAGAATGGATAGATGAATTGAAGGATAGATAAGTGATAGGTAGGTAGGTAGATCAAGATAGAAGGGTAGATTGATTGATAGATAGGAGACATGATAGATCAATTGATAAATAGATGAATAGAGTGGATATAGATGGATAAATAAAAGGACAGATAGATTATTTGGATAGAGGAATAGATAGATAGATAGATAGATAGATAGATAGATAGATAGATAGATA